TTTCCATGGAAAAATATGACATTTGAATGAAACACGTGGGAAAATACGACATTTGAACGAATAGCACTTGTGAAATCAAATTCGAAAAGATCAAAACTTCAAAAAATTTGATAACCAGAAACTATTTGACCAATTCTATTCAAATTTTGTATTTTGCCACATAAAAAATTTCTTTTTGCTGTCTTCTTCATTCAAAAGTGAAAAATAATCTTGGAGAGCAGGAAGCTGCGAAACTGGTGTTTTGTTATTGCATGCTAAAGCGAAAAAAAGTTTTAATGGAATATAAAATGAAAAATGATTTTACACATGATGCACAAGATGATTATTACGTGCTTTTTATCAAGATTGCTCTAGAATTTTCATTTTTAAAAATTAAAGAAATCAACAGAGGATTATATACTTTTATTTAAAATTATTTAACATTTATAAAAGATTATGATCTACTACAGCAAAATTTTGGGATTTTGGTAATTGTCAAATGTACTAAGTCAAAAAAAGGTTTCAGACATGACGGCTAAAACCATCATTTATCAAAAACTTGAACCCTGTACTATCAGATGCTCAACATCCTATATTTTACTTCAGTTTATGACCTACAACATCGATCACATTGAATCAAAATGAAAATTCAAGATGTCATTGATCAAGACGGGCGCGAGCGCCCCATCTTGCACACTTTTTGGTGAATGCATAAATAGTTCTAAAAAGTACAAAATTTTTATGCACAAGCAAAAGATTTGATTCTCAGTGCAGAAAATGAGTTGTAAATACAGAAAAGGTAGAAGCTATATAACACTATATTTAATTAAGAGAATAATGGGAAACCAAAAAATCACAAACTTGGCGACCTCATAGTGGAGAGACAGTTATAAATTTACATAAGTATTTTCATTAATGCGTCTAAAATTATTTTTATGATTTTACATTTGAAATTAAAATACTTTAGAAATAAATACATATTAAAAAAATATTTTTTGAAAACTATGTTAACCTTGATCTGTCCACGTGACAAACGTTTGTCACCATCAATCACAAAAGGCAAACTGATGAAAATTCATTTGAAAATTATAGTAAAAAAATTGATTATCATAAAATGTTGGCATAAAACAATGATGGTGCAAATAATGCCAAACAATTGATTAATTTTAAAAGTAACATATAGGCAAAAGCAGGTATTTGATCAGCAGATGCTTTTGAAGAATTTCCATTTCATATCATTTAAAAAACAACATTTAACATAATAACAATTAAATAAGAAGGTTAAAAAAATTCATGTCGAAACTGAATGCACGGTCATTGTCACGATAATAAATTTTAAACGGGGAAGTTGAAATATTTAGAAGTAAAAACTTAATTTAGATAACAAGCAAATCGACATAAACAAAAATATGCGCCAAACCACATGACAACTTTGTAATACAATAATTTCATCTTATTCAGGTAACTAAAGACTTAAATATTTTGTTTGTTAAAATAATAAAATAGATTAGTTTGCTCAAATAATAGATTTAAAATTTGCATTTGGTTGCAATTTTAATGAATGTTCTGACCCATGAACTTCATGAAATAAATCTTTCATATCTACCTATAAAAAAATAAACAATAGGTAGAAGCTGAAGACATTGACTAAAAAATAGTTTTCAACATTAACTGTTTTGACCACGCCGATCTAATGGACACGAACAGAAAGAAAAATACCATGTTGAAAAATAAGAGAATTATTCAGCTTAGCAGATGCAACTAAAGTTTGTTTTATTTATTTAAATAAACAAGCATAAAAGCTTAAAAATTTCTTTAGCTTTAAAAACAACACCTGGTTTCGTGCATTGCATTTATTTGCAAAATGGCAACAAAAAAAAAAGAAAGATTTCACACTGATTTACTAAACCAAAGAATAAAATAGTAACGCAACTAGTCAACATTTACAATGTAATAATGAGCTTTTACACTTCTTTAACAATACTTATATAATACAAAATAAAATAGTTTAATAATAATATAATACTAAAACAATGAATTTAAAGAAAAAAAAGTTTAAGCTACAAACTTTTAAGTTTTTGTACATTGCAGTTAATAGCAAAATGACACTGAAAATACCACACTAAACCAGATAACAAATTATTCCTAAAATAAATAATAAAGCTTTCAAACTACACTTTCAAAGCAAAATAGAGTTTTTATATTAATTTAAATACTAATACCAGTATTTATTAAGACTACAAACATGAAAACAAATTTATAGTTAGACCAATTAATGCATCTCCCGATCTTTTATCATGTAAGCAAACAGAAGACTAAAAACCAGCAACCAGCTACTTATTTAACCAACACAAGCAAAATTATTCCATTACATTAAATGTACCAATTCTTAGTCAATGAAATTTGAAATATTCTTTTGAAATAATAGAAATATATACAATACATAAAACTCTGGAAAAACATCAAATAAAATCAGGAAAACATAGGCAAACAACGGAAACAAAAATCATGAAAAACAATTATCCGATTAATTTTCAAACAATTACCACACTCAATAGTAAAAATAAATTTAGATGATTGTGTATAAAAATTAAAATAAATGCTCATTAAAAGAAAATAAGTATCAGAAGAGTCATGAAACTATGTATCAAAATAATCTGAAATTAAGTGATTGTAAAAACATTCAAAACTTAAAATATATGAAACCATGAAAATTTTCAAATACATAACAAAACATGAAAATGGAAGCTTTAACTATAAATAAGACAACTAAAGGACCAATGAATTTGAACTCCCAAATAATGAAGGTAGTAAAAAAATACATTTATATATGTTTAAAATTTAAAAACTGTTGGTTATTACATATGAATATAAAAGACTGTATCAACAATATAACTAGAATTTAAATGGAAAAATGAAATGGTTTGATATTATTATTATATAGTATTAAAACAACTTTAAGAAATCTGAAATCAATTTTTTGTAAACTAAAAATAAAAAAAATTGATTCAATAGTAACAAAATTATAGGAAAATTTGATTGAAAAAAAAGATAGCAAACCAGTATGACAATAACCAAGAACATAATTGAAAATTGTTATTCAGAAATATGCTCATATCTCTTGAAATCGCAACAACTGGTATTCAAAAATAAATTAAAAGACAATTCACTAAAGCTAACTTGAAAATAGATTATATAAGGACATGCTTTTAAAGAAATAGAAATATTCATCCACAGTAAATAAATATCAATGGTAGTTACAAGAACATTACTGTTGCTAAAGATTTGAAACTATTAATTGTAAAAAAAAAAATGCACATAAATGGAAAGATTCCAACAATGCAAGCAATAAATATAAAGTATCTGCTGAAAGTCAAAATACTTGTCTATAATTCATAAAATAAAAATAATTATCTTAAACAATATTAAAAATAATATTGTAAAACATTACCTATAAATTGTAATAAAAAAAAAACATTTCAAGATGATGACTATTACATTTAATTAGCATTAGTCATGAATCCTAATGCTAACAAAATAATAAAAATATATAATAAGTTATATAGTAAGTTGATCAAGCAAATGTTAACATTAAAAATAAAATTGTAACATAGAACCCCACTTTCTTCAAAAAATATGAATACTCAAAAAAGTAGTTCTGAAAATACCAAGAATATTTTAGTGACTATAGAATTATCAGTTTCTGTTAAATTAATAAAATATAATTAAATTCATGCAATGTCAACAATAAATTTGTATCATATGCAAGGAATCACAAAAACATTTTATAAATTTAATGCAGTAGTAATCTCAAACTTGGCAACTACATTCCCAAAATATTAATATTCATACACAATAATTTTTGTGAATATTGATCAATATTATAGAGCAATATTTCATCAAATAAAATAAATTTATTCGCACAATGTCTACAATAAAAATGAATAAATTGCTAGGAATTAGATAAAAACTTCTAACAATGTATTGTAATGCAATAACTATCACAAAATTGAAAGCTATACTCCCGAATAATTAATATTCACAAATATAAGAATAATTTGCCTAATGAAAACTAAGCAATATCGATTAAAACTGAATTCCAGCTAGTAAAATAAGTGGATTCAAGAAAAAACAAAATTGTATCACCTGCCAGAAATTCAGAAAATACTTCTAACTATCGAGTACATCAAAGATGAAATAACAATAACAAAACTGGCAACTACATTCCCCCAAAAATTACTGCTTAACACATAAGAATTGACTAATGAACATTAATATAGACCAATATTAACGATAATGGATTGAATAAGAATATAGAGTTCTGATAAAAACGATATTTATTTTCAATATATAAAATTAAATGTAGAGCTGAATATATTTTATGCAAAATTATTCGACCTTCCGTTTCAATCACAGTACAACTACCATCGATTTCTGTACAACTACACTACCTACTGATCAAGATGAAGCTAATCAATGTATATAAATAAATAATTCAGATATTCTCAAGAAGAAAAATTCAAACAAAAACTACTCAAAACTCAAAGAATTTAACCGTAAAAATATATAAATCTGAAAAACTACATCACGATTTTCTCTATAATATAATCTACTCTTAAAATATATATATATAAAGGTAATAATATTTTATTTCATATTGTTCAAATAAAATAAATAAAACATTTGCAAATTTCCAATAAAATGTTTTACAACTACACTAACACATAAAACGACTTCCCCGTATTCAACATAAACAAGAATGAATCATAACCTACGTTTGGGTTTACACGAAACAGTAGCACTATTTAATTATTTTTTAATTGCAACATATTTTGGAACAAACGTAGGGGTATAGTTAGTACTAACCTGTATTATAAATATACCAGTTTTGTCAGCCATGACAGCTTATCTGCGCCAACGTAACTGGCCAAGAGTGCGCGAGGAACGTAACGCACCGGTAGTAGTAAATAAAAAGTTGGGGAGGAAAAAAAAAACAGGTAAAACTTGGCGCTTTAACTTACCTTTGACGGGAAAGATTCTTCATTTAGTGATTGTGTTTTTAACTTATGCGTCAAATATCTGAGCATTTCACTGATAGTAGTGTAGTGTTTCCTGCCGAACACGACTTTTTTTTAAGTCTTCCAAGGGACTTAAAGGTAACCACAGGGCTACAAAATCGTGAACGTTTGTTGGGTTTTAAAAATACCTAATTTCATGCTGTCCTAGCCATATATACTCCTTCATCCCATCTGTACTAGAGTATCACTACTGTTCGACACTATACGTAGCTAACAGAGCTGTTGTGAATGAAAATTTTCGTCAAATTTCTCGCACCTCCATTTCGTTCGATTGTATGATGACCAACTCCGCCAGCCCCGGCAGATCTCGCCAACAATATGAGCCGGTGTGCGCCCTAGAGGTCGCTGGTATCTGCACCTCTGCAAGACATGTCCACTATACTTTTTACATTTTTTAACCATATAAATGAATAATAACGAAGTTGTGTTTATGATAAATAGTAAGTTGCATTCGTTTGGAGCAATTGTTTACAGTTAAAATTCTAGAAAAATAAATGTAGAATCGGATATTAGGGAAAATAAGATGTAGAATTCCCCATCTCCGAGTAGGTTAGGTCCTTTCGATCGTGATTGGCTGAAAAGCATTGACGTCACCGCAATCATCCGGCGCTCTTCACAGTTCGTACTTTTGTTCCAGTTTCGCTCTTTCATTTCCACCACCACATACTACCTTCAAGGTTTTCTTTACTACTGATTCAAGCTTACTGTTGAAACAGGTCGATTTTTTTTAATTGATCTGCCGAATACAGAGCTCAATTTTTTTTCGTTAATTCTCGAAATAATTTGGAAATTTTCCTTAAATTTTATTGGATTACTTCAGCAGATTTTAAAACCGTTTTAATTGTGAAGCACAGAAAATGTTTCCTTAATAAAATAAATGAATGTATGTACAAATTTTACGTTGATGTGCAAGCGCTATCTTATTAATCCCTCTCAAAATTTCAATTAAAATAAGTTTCTTTTTAAAAAAAATATTATGATATTTGTTTTTTATTATATGAAAGATAATTATTTTTATTGTATTTTCAAAAATGTAATAGATTGTTTTAGCAAACATAAATAAATCCTTAATAGTTTAGCTCATCAGATTCAAATTGTTTTTTTTTTTTTTTTTTTTTTTAAGCTAAAATNTTTTTTTTTTTTTTTTTTTTTTTTTTTTTTGAATATTTCAATTATGAATTTATTATCTAGAAAAGTAGATTTTAAATCAACTGAAAATATTTTGAGCTTTTTGACATTTTGATGCTGAATTTTCTTTAAAATATTTTTCGTTGTTTGTATTCATCAAGCTCGAAATAAGTGAAAAATGCTATATTTAGAAATCTAATGGTTTGTGATGATTATGAAATAGGGATAGATAAGCGTAGATACGGACACGTGTGCTCTTTGGCAAATATGAACTGGCAGCTCACTTTTAAACAATAATCTTTGAAATTTTGTAGTTATGTAGATACAAGAGGAACGATAATTCATTACTGAAATTTTTTGTAATTTATAAAATCACTAATTGATAATTTTTTGAATATGAACGGAAAAAACAGTTTTAACTACTATTATTGAATTTTATATTTTAGTACAAATATAATTCCGATAACCATACAGATTTTTTTAGTAACTATCGGACTATTTTTTATAATAAAACAAGTGAAAAATACTATATTTAGAAATCTAATGGCTTATGATGATTATGAAATAAGGATTCTTTGGCAAATATGGACTGGCAGCTCACTTTTAAACATTTATTTTTGAAATTTTGCAGTTATTTAGATTATAATAGGAACAATAATTCATTTTTGAAATTTTTTGTAATTTATAAAATCACTAATTGATACTTTTTTTTAATATGAACGGAAAAAACAATTTTAACTACCATTATTGAATTTTTTATTTTAGTACAAATATAATTTCGATAATCTAACAGATTTTTTTAATAATTATCAGACTATTTTTTTATAATTAAAAATACCAAAATATATTTTACTTGTAATTAGAGCGTCAGAAAAATATATAAAAGGGATACCGGTGTCCAATCTGTAGGAAAGGGTTAACGAGGAAAAGAATGTCTTAATAGTTATGGTGGGTAGATAGATAGATCGATTTTAAAATATTTCTGAGGAACCATGACTCGTATTTCAGAAAAGTTTTTACATTATTTCCGCATTTTTTTAAAGCTATCAAGGTATCTAAATGGTTAGCGACTGTTCAAATATTATGTAAATATCTAACAGATGATGGGTTTTGAGATATTCTTATTTTTGCTGACAAAAGGAGAAAGATATATGAAAAATGCTCATATAGGAAACTAAATTCAACTTATTTGAAATAAACTTGTGCATAAATTGTAAAACTAATAAAGTTATCAGAAAAAATTACGTTTTAAAGGGAAAAAAATACGTAAGGCTAAATTTGAAGACAAGGTCGGGAAGCTGTCCAAAATCATCAGAAACATGCACACCTATGGTTAAAAAAACTCGTTATGTAAATTTTAAAAAAAAAAGATTTTGTAAGTGTCAAAATGTATTTAAGTGTTACATTTAAAAAATGCTTATTTTTCCTAAAAAGTATTAATTGTTGCTTAATTATTATCTATTTTTGGGGAAGATAAGCTCTAAAATAATCGTTTTTTAAATTTTTTTTCCTCATTTCATTATCATTTTTCGGAACATAATCGTTTTTATTACGAAAAAATTTATCAGTTTTTATACTGTATTTTTAATCAAACTTATGTACTGACCTTAAACTCGGATACTATGGTCTTTTTTTTTTTTTTTTTTTTTTTTTTTTTTTTTTTTTTTTTTTTTTTTTTTTTTGTAATTTTTATGAAATTAAGCTCAGTAACATTCGAAATGAGCTGCGCAAATTGATTAATGTCCTGGGCTATCATTATGGAAAATTAAAATTGCAATAGATGATGGCTTGAAATCTAAATAGCTTCTGATTGTACAAGCTAGTCTGGGGAGTAAAGGAGGCCGAAGCACAGTGCGCAAAATAATAATAATAATAATAAAAATAATAATAATACCCAGAATAGTTTTTGATGTAATAATCGGATTTTCAAGTTCTAGGACTCAATTTTAATGGCTCGAGCGGAATACCTCGAATATGCTAATTAAAAACTGCAGACGATATTTAAGTTGCGAAATTAAATACGAAAACGTACTTTCTCTGAATAAACATACCTTGGCGAACAAAGAACTTAGGTATTCTTTGGCCAAGAAACATACATTTTTAATTAACATACATTTACATACATAATAAACATACATTTTTCGTCGAATCCAGTTTTCTGACCCCAAAACATAGGGATTAGGCGCAATGTGGGGAATATGGTCCCAAAAGTTTGATCAAGAGAATGTATTTCGTCATATCTCGAGAACTTTTTAAGCTAACTGAAAATTTTTTCGCACAATTATAAAATTCGTTTATCCAGAGTTTATTCCCTGCAAAAAATAACTTTTAGCAAATATTTAATATTTTTTATTAATTTATTTAATAACGGTCGAAAAAATTTTCAATTGTAATGTCAACAATTTTTTGCATCATTTTAAAAAATATAATTTGACATGGCAAAATACAAAATTTAAGTCAAAATCGGTTGAAAAGTACCTGAGAAATAGGCTTTCAAAAAAGTCAGATATTTTAAAATTCGATTTTGTGTTTAAAAATATTTTTTTTTTCTTTGTCTGTAATTTTGTTCAATGCTCAAAAAAATAAAGAAAGAAAAAAGCGGATCAGCCTGAATAACTTTTGATCTAATGATCTTCACTATCTGGACTCAAGCCTAATGGATCGAGGGGTGACCTCTCACATGCAAATTAATTTGTGCACGCAATATTTTAAGTTTCGAAATCAGACACAAACAAACACCTTTTCTCAATAAAAACATTCCTTTTTATCGACGGTTTCGGATACCTGACTTCCAAAATATAGGGCTTAGCCGCATTTTGGGCTATATGGTCCTAAGATTTTTTAAATATGGTCAGGAGAAGTATGGGAACTATGGTCAGGAGAGAGGTAAAAAGTTTGGACCCCTTCAAGCTAATTTTACTTTTTGTGTATTTCGCCATATCTCGAGAACTTTTTAAGCGAATTGGAATATTTTTGAACACAATTATAATATTATTTTATCTGCAGATAATTCCATGCAATTTATTATTTTTTATTATTTCACTCAATCATGGTCAAAAAATTTTTGAACCGTAAGGTATACAGTTTTTTTTTACATCATTTTAAAGAATGTAATTTTAAATGGTAAAATACAAGATTTGTGCAAATTCTGATGCCAAATAGATCCTGAGAAATCAAGTTTTAAATATACGATTTTTTTTAAAATTTCGATTTCGCAGGAACTATTTGATCGATTTTGCTCAGATCTTATACTTTGCCGAATTAAATTTCCTCTTTTAAAATGATGTTAACAACGGTATACCTTACAATTTTTTTAAACTATTAAATAAAATAATAAAAATTATTAAATATTTAATAAAAAATATTTTTTGTATGGATTTATCTTAGGATAAACAAATTTTATAATTGTGTGCAAAAGCTTTCGATTTGCTTAAAAAGATCACGAGATGTGGTGAAATACGCTAAAAGTAAAATTAACATTAAGAGGTCCAAACTTCGAATCGCTCTCCTGACGAAACTTTCGGGACCATATTTTCCAGATTGCGGGTCACCCCCCATATTCCGGGGGGTTAGAAATACGAATCCGTTAAGGAAAAAAAGGTATGTTTGTTCAGAGAAAGTACACTTTGTCTCTGATTTCGGATCTTAAAATGTTCTTTGCAATAATTAATTATCATTTTGAAGTCACTCCCTCGAACTATTAAGAATGAGTCCCAGAACGTGAAGATCCGATCATTAGATCTAAAGTTATTTAGGGTGGTCCGTTTATTTTTATTTTTTTCGCACACTGTAGATGTTGCATAGTAAAAAGTTATTAGATTTAAAATTCTTGCATTATTATTTCTATCTCAACACATAAATTGGTAAAAGCATAAAATTAATATTATTCATAAAATTGAAAATTATTCAGGGTGGTAGTCTCTTTTTTGCACATTGTATTTCAAAATCAGATTCTCTTTTCTTTGAATTAATCAACTGTTATCTTTTCTTAATTACGTATATTAAAATTATTCAGGGTGGTGGTCCTTTTTTTGCACATTGTAATTCAAAATCAGACTTTTTTTCTTTGAATTAATCAACTGTAATATTTTCTTAATTATCTATATTATTCTTTTTAATAATAAATAATTTTGTTTGATAAAAATTTTGCAAAAAAATATTTTTTTTCTTTTTTATTTGTGCAATAATGTTCAATCGAATCCAATATTTACGTTGATTGGTTAAATTGAGAAATAAATTATTAAATATCGTGAATGAGTTATCAATATTTCCTACATTGCGACATTAAAATTTAAATATCACCCAGCTCAGCTTTACATTTAAAGGTAATCTTTGCGTGTCCTTCAACTCGAAACTTTAAATACTTTTC